GTAAGAGGCAGAAAGTCAAGGGCCATTATTACGTGGCACTTCACAGACTGGTCCCCATCTTCACAGGGGTGCGGAAAGCTTCATTACACCTTCTGGATCTGTCTCTCTGTCTAAAGTCACTTCAATCCACACGTCTGAATGCACCCTCAATGTGCAGGGATTTGGTGCACTTCACTGCTCATGTTCAACTCATGGGGAAATCAGAAAATACTAGTTTTTTTCCATTGTTTTGTTCTTCTCAGAGAACTGCTTTGGTACCTTACTTTTCTTGGTTTAAAAAATAACACATAATGAATCAGATCGTGAAATGCTGTCTTTGTTATAAGAAAAGATCTGTGACTTTGGGCTGGGAGCTGATTGGCCGAGTGAGCCTGGTCTTTTTCTTTGCACTTTTCCGTGACCAGGTGATAAATACAATTCTGGCATTAAATATATTGTTCCAGCTGTCTTGAACAAATCCATATAAACATAATAGCAATAATAAAACTGACTGAGTAATGTTAAATGATGGCGCTACATTGCTAGAATTAACTGATTCCCTCATGTCCCCCACTCTCAATACATGTTATTATTTATTATTTACAGTTTATTGTGGACATACTTTTTAAAAAACAGTAAATGACCCATCAAAAAAAACATCTGTATTTATTTATTTATATCATTTGGTATTTCTTCTTCAAAGAAACGGTGTATAGATTCATTTAATTGGAAGACTGTTTATAATGAGCTCTCAGAAAGCTTGTGATTTTTGTGTATTCTCCTATACCCATATTAATTTGTTTATTGGCCTTTTAGTTATCCTCATGCACATTATGTTTAGTCATAATTTCTATCTTAAGGCACGTTAAAACAGCCATGTTAATTAGCAAATAAATCCTAACCTGGATGACACCCGTCTCCCAGCGGGTCTCTGTCTACTGAGGATTCTTTGATGTTTTCTCACAAAAAGCTGCAATAATGAGACGTACGGAGAGTGATGTGTTCTGCATTTTGATTCGACAAATGGTCACCACTTGTTTAAAAACATAATTAATCTCAGTCACCACTTTTCTGCCTAGTGTGAAAGCTAAGTATCCCAGAGCATGTGTAATGGGGCCGCACAATCGCAACAGACTGAATACATTTTAATTAATCCAATCCCAAGCGAAAAATATAGTCCTCTGTAAACAACAACACATCCAGACTTTGTATGGACTATGGACAATGGACTTGGGATTTACTAAACCCAGAAACCAAAGACTAATAAATGAATGTAATCTACGGAGAGCGGGGGGGAAAATCTCCTAAATTGAACATGACTACAACTCGTAAAAGACCGCATGTATTATTGTACGGTCTACAACGAAGGAAAGCACTAGAAAAGGTGAGAAATTTAGGGGTAATACTGGACTCAGACCTAAATTTCAATAGCCACATAAAATCAATAACATCAACAGCTTTTTACCATCTGAAGAACATTGCCAAAGTTAGAAATATAGTGTCTAAAGCAGACTTGGAGATTCTTATCCATGCATTTGTCTCCAGTAGGTTAGACTACGGCAATGGCCTGCTCACAGGTCTGTCCAAACAGGCTGTAAAACAGCTGCAGTACATTCAAAATGCAGCAGCTCGAGTCCTGACTAGAACCAGGAAGTACGACCACATTAGTCCGGTCCTCAGGTCTCTGCACTGGCTTCCTGTGGCTCAGAGAATAGACTTTAAAACAGCTCTGCTTGTTACAAGTCTCTCCATGGCCTCGCACCAAAATATATTTGTGACATGTTAGTCCCATATGAACCAGCCCGGACTCTGAGGAGCACAGGGACTGGCCTCCTGCTGGTGCCCAGAGTGAGAACCAAACATGGGGAGGCTGCGTTTCAGATCCATGCAGCTAAGATCTGAAACAATCTCCCTGAAAATGTGAGAGAGGCGTCTACTCTGTCAATGTTCAAATCCAGGTTAAAGACTGTTCTGTTTGCCTGTGCATACAACTGAAGGATTATATCTCAATTTCTAATGCACTGTTGTTATTTATTCATTTATTTTTTTTAATTCCTTGTGTAATTTTGAAAGTTTTAACGGTTTTAATCTTTTGTGCGATTGTAATGTTTTAATTGTGATTCTGATGTTTGTTTTATGTGATGATTTGTGATGTGGACTGTGAAGCGCTTTGTGTTGCCCTGTGTATGAAAGGCGCTCTACAAATAAACTTTGATTGATTGATTGATAGAAAATAATAAAAAAGTGGTAAATTAATAAATAACTTTTACAAGAGAGGAGAGGACATGGGAGTATACTGTAGCATATAGTTTAAATACTGTTCTCAATCTGATGCTTGTTCCCTTTTGGTTTCTTGTTCTCTAACTTGGTTAAAACTGTCTTTTCTGTCCGTGTCTGTTTTGTATTTATCTATGTGTGATCTGTTGTGCGAGGTTTTCATTTCTTTTGTGTCTGTTTTCTTGGAACCAGCCCTGAAACGTAGCAGATTTTTTTTTTCATGAGTTCATAAAAATGCTTATTACTACATACAAGTTGTATTATAATCCGTAATTTAATTGAAAACTTGAGCTCATTGATTCAGCTGTGCATGAATTCAGGCCGTAAAAAGTGCTGAGTAGAGACTTTAGCGTAACGCCCGCTCTCCTCCAATCACAGAAGGAGGCTGCGTCCTCTAGCCTCTACAGCGCTGCTAAACACAGTAGCATGTTAGCATAAGTGGCTATAACTCCTCTGGCTGTAACTGCAGACTCAGCAAAACAGCCCAAACCACACAACAGTGAGGAAGAGAAGAGGAACTAAAGCGAAAAAATGATCACAGAAGAAATCAAGCCCGGGTGAACATAGCTAGCTTACATCGTATCCTCCGGAGAGACTTGTCTATGGGAGAGACCTGCGGGACCGCCTCGGACTATCTATGCTCGGACTATCTGTGCTTGGACTATCTATGCTCGGACTATCTGTGCTTGGACTATCTATGCTCGGACTATCTATGCTCGGACTATCTGTGCTCGGACTATCTACGCTCGGACTATCTACGCTCAGACTATCTGCGCTCGGACTATCTATGCTCGGACTATCTATGCTCGGACTATCTGTGCTCGGACTATCTACGCTCGGACTATCTACGCTCGGACTATCTGTGCTTGGACTATCTGTGCTCGGACTATCTATGCTCGGACTATCTGTGCTCGGACTATCTATGCTCGGACTATCTATGCTCGGACTATCTGTGCTCGGACTATCTACGCTCGGACTATCTACGCTCGGACTATCTGCGCTCGGACTATCTATGCTCGGACTATCTACACTCGGACTACATTCGGACACTAATCTAGGTGTAATCTTTCAGTTATATATTTTGTTAGCAGTGCGTTGCTTGTGTACCATTTCATCAGTGATTGTTGTACAGCTTACAAGAAGTTGCGCTCATGCTAATGTTAGCATATAGATCGCAATTAAAACTAGATGGCTCCGTGGGATGAGAGCGTAGGGGAAATGAGAAGCCTGTGAGCGAGTTGGGGGCGGGGCTAAACATTCAAACCTTGTAGAAACGGGTATAGCTCCTCTAAGGCATCAATGTGGATGAATGTGCATAATTAATTAAATGATAAATGGAGTGTTGTGAAGTGTATGTTGCTTTAAATGAGCTGCTGGCCTTATTTTGCAATTATCTTCAGCCTGAACCTGGGAGTGCAGTGTTTGACGTCGCCTGTGTGCATCCTTCCACAAAAAAACTAAGACTCAAAGTGGGAGCAGAGGAGGTGGTTGGAGTGGTGTGGCTCGAGCTTGGAGCAGAGCTGGTGAGTGCTTGTCAAGGCCAATTTAATCCTGATGCGGTGTGTAAGACGTAATGTGGTACAGTGGGTTCACCGTGCTGAGAATTACCAAGATAGAAGGAGGTTTCACGTTGGCTCCTGAGACTCTGCTTTGAAGGTGTGCAGGTGCCCTAGGGGTGACCTGGGTGTCCGTGTCATGAATGTATAAATATATAATATACTCCAGGTTATTTTTGATTTCTCTTTAGTACTGTCATGTTTTAATTTGAGTTAGTTAGTTGCATGAGTATTATTGTTTTTCTATGCTAGAGGTGATTATATGGTGACCAAAGATCTAAATGGTACAAATAAAATTATATATTTGAACATTTGAAATGGACTATTATATTTTCATTTTATAATTGTGTCTTTGTTATAATATACCTGTTGGCCTGTGCTTTAGAATTTGGTATTTGCTACTTGCGCAAATCCCGTAATGTTTTTCGGTTAACTACATACATTTTTTTTTTATTTAGTTAAGTTTTGCAAATGGTGTAAAACTTGCAGTGGGAGTTGCAGGTTGGAGGTTGAAACCTCAAGGATCACAGGGACACTTAAACCACTGGCCATCAGCGTTGTCGATGTACTAAAACAATAGTAATGATCACCATCTGCTGGCCATTTGAAACACTGCACCATTGAAATTAACAGAAAGCGAGGAATATGATTCTTATTCTTTTTTTAATTGCTCAAAGTCAAAAAATAAAGCACTGATTTTTTTAAGTTTTGGTTTTGTTGAATTTAAATTTAAATTTATGTGAACGGAGCCAAACCTTATTAGAGGGTTAGGGTTAGTTTTATGTGCGCATTAGATCGCTGGCATATGACCTCCCCCAGCCAGCAAAGCATTATGGACTTGTGCAAGTAGCAAATAGTCCAGTAGTTAACAATTATAGTTATCCACGTATTTTTTTTTTTTTTAGTTTATCTGGGTCCGGGTCCCGGAGACAGCAGTCGGAGCAGAGATGCCCAGACTCACCCAGGAAAGCGTTCAGGAGGCATCCCAAACAGACCCACCTCAAATAGGGAGTGGCCATGCATAGTCTGGGAAGATCTGCTCAGACTGCTGCCTCCACCACACGGCCCCAGATAAAGCTTGAGAAATTTGACGTATGGTTGCTATATACTTTGTAACTTAAAAAACCCCAAAAAACTACCAACCATTTATCCGCATCTACTGTATGTCTCGAGGCTGGAATACTGTACCTGCTGGACTTTTTGTATCTCGTCTCGTTTCTTGCTCTTGTCTGTGCTGTTCTGCTGCAGGTGTTTGAGTTTGGACGTGGCCGAGGAGTGGCTGAGTTTAGCACCGGTGCCATTCGCTCCCTGTGGAGAAGTGACACAGAATGAATGACGACTTCCACAATGCATTCACTGTATGTATGCGTCTATTTATGGGCTTCAGAATGTCGGGCCTTTGCCATAGAAATTCACAATTCAAAGCCAATTTTTAGAAAAAGGGTCTTGAAAATGGATTATAAAACAAGATGCTGAAACCCATGAATACAGCTCAACACAGAAAGCAGAACTAAAGATCAGAGTTTCAAACTAAAAGAGAAAAAAAGTCTTTATTTTTTGTGATTTCTAGTTCCTTATAGTTTAGAAATATATTTATACATGGATACTTTCTGAAATTCTTTACACCCCGTCTAAGGGAAATCATCTAATCTATAAACAGATGCTTTTACAGGTGAAACTTACAGTAGAATATTGTTGTAATCAAAGAGAGAGATGTAGGGGTGGGCAAAATATATCGTAGACAATAATCTCGTGATCTATAGATGCCCTGGTAGCAAAACATTACAGATCATTTTGTGTAAAAATGATTGATTTTAAAGATATCGTGACAATATCGTTATCGGGAGTTGGAAAAAAAACATTGAGATATTTATTTTTGTCCATATCGCCCACCCCTAGAGAGATGTACTTTATTATCTTACATTGGAGAAATTCAGTATTTTTCTGTAATTCAAATCAAAATGTGAATCCGATATATGATATTGGCTCATTACACACAAAGTGACATATGTCTGGCATTTATTTAATATCGGGGTTTATGTCTTACAATCAATTCTCAAAATATTTACATTTTGTAGATGTTTTATTTAGGGGTTTTACAAGCTCAACATGATAACAAAAAAAGTCTTGGTATATCTCACTTTGCATGTACTGAGTCTGTCATAGATGATTACATTGTAAGCCGAATCACAGAAGTAAATGGACTTTTGAATGATATTCTAACTTTCCTAGTTTCCCCTATATTCCTCTAATTTTGCAAAGATAATTCCTGGCACATTTTGCACAATTTGTCTCAAAAGATTGTGTTTTAATAGTTAAAAAATGCTGTATTAGTTCAATGCATGAATCCGCCATCTCCCTCTCTGATTCTATAATGGATGATTCGTATGGTTTGGACAAGTTCACTTTGCAATTAATAGTATTTCATGTTCATTTCACCACATATTTATTTGATTTTCTCATTATTTTTTCAATAATGTAATAAATATGAAAAAAAGTGACAATTTTTACCAAATTCCCCAGCAGCAAAATGACAATTGAACATATTTCAAATACCAGACATTTTGTTGCGCTATGTTTTGTACATCAATGCTTTGAATGGGTTTCCTCAGCCTTACATCTACTTCTGCAAGTGATTTTGCGCAATGGCATCAACAATTCCTCTCCAATTATCCAGGATCGGGACACCTTCAAAGTCCAAGGCAAGAGCGCCGATTTGCATATACGCACTTCATTAAAAGCTTAAGTGACGTTGCCCAAAATTTAACCCGTCACGTCAATGCATATTTGGCTTGATCAAATGTAAGCGGGGAAAAATAAATAAAAACGACGATGACGGCTGTTGAAATTGGAGTGATGAAATAACGTGTGAGCACTTTGTAATGCTCAGTCTGTGCCCATAGGAATTCTGCCTGGGTGTACATCAGAGGAGCTCCAACTCACGAAGAGATGACTGTCACAAGCAGCTGCCCAGAGACGGAGGCGACAATCAAAGCCACATTGTGTCAAAGGAGAACGTTTAAGTGGAGAGCGTGTGCGGCTTTTGATTAAGATGAATCTTTGTTGTACTGCAGTCAATTAGAGGTGAGGCTGCACAATGAGTCTGCGTGTAATAAGTTCAGTTTGTGGTCAATTTGAGGGATGGCGGTTCATTACTGTGGATATTATTATGATAGTGTGTGAGCTTTAGACTGCGTCCAAGTCATTTCCCTTGGCAATCTGAGCTGCTCATATGTGCCTGCAAAATGTGTATATTTTTAGACACTGATAAAGCAATTTATAAGAACCATTTGTATATTTAAAAGTGTATTTAAAGAAGAAACAAATAGCTTATGAGTTTCTTAACTTGTTTTGTAAATAACAAATTTGTTCCAACAGAAGTAAGCCTTGCAAAAGTAAAATGTTGAGATCACAGACTAGTATGTATTCAACTGCAGCCTCTAGTTTTGTCTATTTCACACTTTAACCAGTAAGACTTTCTCTAAAAGGACATAGAAATACACACACACACATGTGGCTTGATCATAATTATATTGCCTATAATTATGACGCAACAATTGAATTAAATGCATATCACAGACAAAGAAGACATTCATGAGCAGAGTCAGGAATAGCCAGCAGAATTTAGAGCTCCAACAACCACGGAGGAATATCGAGAGCCCGCTAAGTGTAACAAAAGGTGAAACGAAGTGGCTTTAACAGACAGAGAACAGACTCCTGACAGATCGATACAGAACAAATTAACAGCTCAGAGCGCGGCTGGATTACAACATCCACACTGACGATGAAAACCACTACGTGACAATGCAAGTCTGTTATCTGTACCCCGTCATATTTTTCAATTCAAAAACACAATCGGACCCCGAATTAATCATCAGGGGACAGACACCAGACAGCTTAAGTCCCAGAAGTCACCCATAGATAAGAAGAAGAAAGAAAAAAGGGAAGGTCTAGACACAGGCTTGAAGGACTATAGACCTGGATTGATGCTTGATGGTTCAAAGATGTCGGCTTGGGTGGGACCGGAGGCTTCTTGGTCTCAGTAGAGTAGGTCTGTCCTGGATCGCTAATAGCCGTGGAGCCGTAGTAAAGCTGGGTGACTGTAGAATGGCCGCCGATTTCGATCAGAGTATTCTCCAGCTCGCGTATGGTCTCCTCTAGACTGTCCAGCCGCTTATAAGTGGTCCGGCAGACATTTTGAGCGTCCGTAGATGCAGAGGACCCATTGTTGCGTTTAAGCTGAAGGAACCTCTCTCCAGTTTCGCCACCACGCTTTAGACCCTCTGTTAGACTCTCCAGTGGACTCAAACAGGCTGAAGACTTTGTTCTCGGCTTGGGTAGTGGTCTAGTTGAAACCAGAAGGCTATGTAGTCGTGTGTAAGCATCTTTGGCGGTTTTCTCTTTTTGGAAAACCACTTTACACGGTAGCTTGCCTAGAACCTCTTGACTGGACAATTCGGTCGTTCTCTGAGAGATGTCGATGGTGTGCATGGAATCTTTTGTTGGCCTTTCGAGCTCCTCCATATCAAGAGAAGTGAGCACTCTGACGTCGCTGTCTGTCAAGAGCAAAACCAGCTGTTTCTCCTCTTTTTCAGGTACGACGAAGTCTCCGGCGTTTGTGGATGATTGCTTGAACGCAGAGGTTGGACGCTGAGATGATTTTGAGTAACTATCTAAACTGTGGGCAGGATCCATTAAGGGGATGGGTGAACACTCTGTCAACACAATCTGGGGGACAGCCGACATGCGCCTTCCCTACAAACGAGGAAGTCGAGTTTAAACACAAGAGAAATACAGTTTTATAACAATGATTATAGATTAATGTGCAAAAGAAATAACGTCTCGTAAACATTAAGGTAATTGCGAACTCACAGCAAGAGTAGAAGGCAAAACAATCACCCAAACCGGCCCTTCATTTTTCCTCAGAATAACAGCTCCAAATAAATGTGTGTAAACAACAACACTCAATTTTAATTAATTACTGGAGGTGATATCATTATTTTAAAAAAATCAGCCATGCAGTCCAACCAAACAAGACCTCATTTTTTTGCATAATGAAGGCCGTAACATTAATGGACATTCATCAGCATTCATGGACATTGGTCAAACTCCCCCAATGGATCAAAACCTACAGTATGTGTTCTATATTTTTGGTATCTTTGACTGTTTGATTCTCTGGTCTGTGTTTTCTTAAGTCCTCTGAGATGACTAGTGTTGTGATTTAGCGCCATACATTCAAGAATACATTGAAATTTAAATTACTTCTTCTGTGGATCACTACAGAAGTAATGCGCTGCATACAAGAAATCTGTCAACATGTTGGGAAGTATAAACCTTTTATTAATATCATTCGCATTTCAATAATACAGTCGTAATAAGACCTACATTCTCAGGTAAGGTAAGGTATACTTTATTGTCCCTGTAGGGAAATGTGTCCCATCCCTCAAGGCCACAAGGGCACCCTGTCAGGAATAATGCAACCAGTGGTGTTTTTGTCCCTATGATGCATGTTTTGGTTGGTCGAGGAAACTAAAGCCCCCGAAGGAAGCCCAGCCAGACACGGGAGAAACATGCAAACTCCACACAGAAAGACACAGGGTTGAAAAAACAAACTTCTCGCAGTGGATGAGTGCTTTACCCACTCAGCCACAGTGAAAGAGAAATTTTGAAAGGCTGTATAAAAATTGCTCGGTCGGCCCTGGACTTCTCTCTTTGCGCTTCCCTTGCAAGATTTCCCGACCTCACGTTGAGTGATTTGTTTCGTTCTGAGGATATGTTAAAGATAGTGATGATGTTCCACCGCTGCCCACGGACCCTGATGACCTCGAAGATAAAAAAACAGGAGCGATCAACTTAGTGGACTGTGATCTGCTGGTACGAACCTCACGAACACACAATAGACCGAAAATAAAAGATAATTGTGAGCAGAAACCTTATTACTTGGATTTTCAATTGCTTTTCCTTTATTAACATATTGCATAATGAAATCGGTTCATTATTTTTGAATTACACTGTACCTAGGCAGGAATCGCTTTATTGGGCAGTTATTAGTTGATATGACACACAGAGAGAGTTCTTCAAACTAGAAATGACTTTTTGTGAGAACAATTTGCCAGAGTGACATGTGTTTGTCCATGTCAAAAGGGCAATCAGAAACTAGATCTCTCCCTCAATGTGGGTCTCACTCTCCGCTGAGGTTTCTCACTTCTCACTGGGTTTTTAGAGTATTTTCTTATCGATCCGGGAGGGCAGCGGTGATGATCCAGGACGCTCGACATTCCACGAGATTTATGGACATTACCAACATTTATGAACATTGGTCATCTGTTTTGGCAAATTCAACGGTTTTGTAAAGTCCTCCGAGATAACTACTATTGTGATTTAGGGCTTTTCAAAAAAATAAATTTAATTAAAATTGAATTGTTGATGAAGGAGTAAAGTAAACAGCACACAGCGTAGATCTTTTACCTCTGCCCTCACATTCTCATTGCTGCAGCTGCTGTTTAAACTAAATGACAGAGACCGACGACGGGTCAGCTTCACTGGTATTTTCTCAAACAGCTGTTGAAGACAAAAGGATGATAATTGTACACATAAGTATGAGTAAGAGTTATCTATTGTTCAAAGCTCTGGTCTGGGCCCCTGTGGCTCCTGCGTCTGTCTGATGTGACCTGTGAAGGCTGATGTGAGCCACTGAGCACTGCCTGATCGCAGGGGTTTCTCTGAGCCAAAGGCAGGGGGCGGCATATGGCACCCGCTGCTCCGACATGTGTTGAGGAGAGAGAAAAAGAGTGAGAGCGAGAGAGAGAGAGAGAGAGAGAGAGAGAGAGAGAGAGAGAGAGAGGTAGAGAGAAGGAGCCAGCGGCAGATTGTCAATGGATCATACACAATACAAGAGTTCATTTTCTCACTCATTCAACCCTGCTCCTCGTCTACGTCACGTTAGAAAAGAGAATTGAGTTATTATTAGTTCTTGTGAGGGGACTATCTTTTGTTTCAACCATTCATCCATTAAAATATTGTTTGAATTCAGCAGGGAGTGGGTGTGGAGAGTCAACAGGGTTCACGCCAGCGCTATTTGCATTTTTGCCCTCGATGCTGGCTTTGTTGTTTTCCTCGAGTTGCTTTGATTCATTCGCCAATGTGCAAATGATCAAGGAGTCTATTTTAAACGATTTAAGAAAAATAATAGGTGGTTAACTATGATTTTAAAATTCTTTTAAATAAATACTAATTACTCAAAAATCATTCCTCTACTTGAAATCCTACGAATAATTAATACTTTAAGTTCAAATACTAACTCCTTTTAACATATGGTCTGTATAACTTCATATTTCTTTGTTCTGAATTATTAAAAACATCAACACATTTTTTAGCTTAAGATCCGGAAGAACCTACAATCTTTTTATGTTCAGAAAATTTCAACCTGAGTGCCATAAAAGCAAAATAATGTATTGTAATATATATTTTGTAGGCTTATTACATATAAAACAAATTAGTATCTTGATCGTAGTTTATCCACTACCACCGCTCCTCTTGGTTCTGGTCCTATCGCTGCTTGACTTGGTTCGGGCTCTTCGTTGTCCCCGCTCACTTCTCCTCTCACCACCTTCTGCCTGGAGTTCATTAGGCCTTAGTGTCTTTTTAGGTGGCAGAAAGAAGTCTTAAATGTTTCTTTGCCCGTGCATTTTTGCGATGTTTTTCTATTTTGCGCAAACCATCGCAAGTCTGAAGAGACAAACTGCACAAAATCAAATCTCCAAACATGGCTCAAATGTTTATTTTTTTATTATGGTTAAAACCCTTGGATATAAGCAACTAAGAAGTAGATTTATGCAGTGAAAAAAGGGTAATACTTTAAAGAATTTATGTCTGGTTGTTCTTAATGATAATGATACTTTTTCTTTATCTTTTCATGTGAGAGAATGTGGAAAAAATATCTCAAGTTGAAAACATATGGTAATAGATACAGCAAGGATGAAAAATGCTATTCAATTGTAACTCCCTCTACTACCACTAGAGGGAGGAGTTGAATTGGTTTAGTTTGATATGACTGATGTTTGAGCCAGTTCCTGACATTAGCGTGGATGGATCTAAAAGCAACTCCAGGTCTGTTCAAAGAAAAAGGAGACTTGATTTACCTCCAGTTCAGACGTAGTTTTGTCGTTGTCGCGGTCGTCCCGGTCTGAGGCCAGGGTGGGCGGTGTGGAGGCGGGACGCGGGTTTTCAGACACGGTCCTCCTCAGTTTTGTGTGAGGCTTTGGTCCATCGTTCTCCTCTGACTCTGACTTCTGCCAAGAGAGGAGCAAGTGTCATGGAATCTACAGAGGACGGAAAATGGAGCCGATCATCTCCAAATGAACTTGACTTTAGGGCTTCAGCGTTTGGGAGACGTGATAATCAGTGTGTGTCATCTTCCAAAACTGCCTCAACTTTAAAGATGCAGTCAGGGATTTTTTCAGACGCATTTTTTTTAAATATTGTAGGAAAATGTCCCTAAATCCTAAAAGTAGTCAAGTTAACATGTGTTTTCAAATACCAGTGGAATTGACCAGATGCCTGTAAAAATTAATAAAAAGTATTTTGGAGCAAACCAACAAAAATAAACCAATGGGATTCGTTCCAATAAAACATAATTATACCATGGTCAGTGAGGATTCCAAATTAAATTACAGGTTCCATATCACTACGCCAAAGTAACACATGCTTTAAAATGAAGGTAAGTAATATTATACAGCAGGAGGTTTAATTTTGTTGCTATACACTCGTACAAAATCTAGAAAAAACTGCTTTTTCTCCTATGAGTCTATATTTGGTCATAGCAACAGTTACTATGGAGCTTTTGCTGGCTCTTGGTTCATAAACAGTGTTGGGTAGAATACTTTGAAAATGTATTCTGAATATGTAACGACGTAACATGTATTCTGCTCATAAAGTAGTCCCTTTCCGCATGTTTTTTTTTCTGGAGTGCAGATGACAACATATATAAGTTTTCTAACATGTTACGAGTGTGTGAGTGATATGACCCTGGTATTATTACTTACCAGTAGATTACAATTTCCAAGCTTGTAACACTGCTTTAACTACAGCACAGTTCTCTTTCTCTCACCTTTACGGGTTTTCCGGGCACTAAAGGCTCTCCGCTGCGGCTCGTCAGGCCTGGGGAAGGGGACGAGGGGAAGCTGCGTCTCGGAGGGGGAGGAGGCGGAGACTTGGACGGTTTCTCTGTGCGATAGCGAGGCACTGTCAGCTCATCTAGAGACAGGGAAAATGTTTACCTTACTACAGAATGCAAGTATATTCAACAAAACACATTAACTAGGAACTTGTTTTGTAGCTTGCCAATGACATAATGACCTGATTTTTTAACCTTTTGTTTAATACGTACCATTATTTACCCTACTTACATCCCCAATGCTTCAAATTCTACAGATTTAGTACTTCTACCGGTAATTGGGCTGGGCATATACTGTATACATTGGGTTATGTTTCATTTGGGGAGGTCAATTTGTCTGTGTTAGTTCTTATCAAGTTAACATTTGCTTTCTGTAAAGTTCTATTCTTTTAACCCTTTTAATGGCCTGTTTGTGTTTATGGCCAATAAACCCTTTTCTGGACCATATGAGCCTTTGTCTTGGTGCTTTACTGCTTGGTCCCTAACACTACCAATATTGGCAGATGTAATCCACCGTGTGATTTGAGGATTATTTCTATATTCCACAAATACACTATTACTGATCAAGTATAGGGTCAGTCAGACAAATGTAAGTCTTCCATGAAATCTCAGTTTGAGTTCAACAAATATAAATGATATTATTATTGTAAGTTGTCAGCACAATTGTTTCTGCTACGATATCTATCTATCATAAGTTTTATTTTATTTTAAACCATTTATTAGTCTTTTAGCATGATTAACTAATACCATTCTGGAAATGCACCTATCCTATCTATCTAAGGAATCCATTCAAAGGCACAGGTTTACAGTTAGTATAGTGATTTACCACATACCACATAACATGTTTAAACTGTATTTCTGCAGAGATAAAAGCGGGACCAGTCTCATTCTCACCTGAGCCACGCCTGGAGCCTCCCTCTCTGCCCGTGAGCTTGTGTTGGGGTTTGGTTGAGCGGTGATCCAGGGTGGCTGATCCTGACTGGGAGTGTTGGGAGTGCTGGGAGTTCTGGGAGTTGTGGAGGGAGTGAGAGCTCTGGGAGATGGGCACAGGGCTGTTGTTGCTGGATGGTTTGCTCTGTTTGGCGGCCAGACAATCCAGGTCTGGGATGGCCTTCATGAGCTCGGCCTGGGTCTCCTCCAGCAGACGGTTGATGTCCTGTGCGCTGTACTGGGTCAGACTGGCTCGCTTCTCCTCCCAGTCCCGTTCTGCCGCCTGGAGATAACATGGTGTTTATAAGAAATGTACCCACTGTCAATAAGTACAGAGCATTTATCTTGCAAAGCTTCAAAACATCACACCTCTGATAATTCAAATTTACAGGTGAAACTTTGACAACTACAATATTTACCAAAATTCCATTTGCTTTTTTAACACACGCAAAGGGAGATATATCAAGCCTATCTATTGTATCTATCATAATGTGGATAACTGGCCTGGGCTGGTGGAGCATTGGCCTTTGAGCCTGAAGGTCGTGGGTTACTATCGTTGGGTCCTTGGGCAAGACACAGGCTGTGCTCTCACCAACAGAGTACTGGATGTCACAGATTGTCATATATAAAAAGGACAGAATTGTATGATGTCCCCTTTTTCATAAATACCTTTACTGCATACTCTATGTCAAGATACTCTTTAACATGTTTGCACATTTTGTGTCTTTTGCACACCCCGAGATCCTATTCATGCCAAATGTAAAATATAAGTTTCTCCTAGTTGAGGTCAATATTAACTTTAAAACAATATCAATATTTTCTGGCTTTATGGGCTGAATTTAGTAAAATACTAAGATGAATGATGTGCTGTATTAATAAAAGCTCTCAGAATAAAGACATGGCGCACATTTCAGATCAGACATGATACAACAGACACAACACTGAAGTTTCCCCACTGTGGGACAAATAAAGAATCTCTTAATCTTAATCTTAAAACATTCTACTTCGTACCAGTCGAACCTCCACGGACAGCGCCTTGTCTGCAGCCGCCCTGCGCTCCAGCTCGTCCAGGGCCTTCCCCTTGTGGCTGATGGGGGGATGATTGTCTTTGTGGGCGGAGCGGCTGAGGCTGGAGGCGGGGCTCCAGTTGCAGAGGCTGTTTCCGCTGCTCAGGTCGGTGATGGCGAGGGGGGTGCTGGTCGGGAGGTCGAAGTCCGAAAACTTACGCAAATCCTCGTTGTGCTTTGGGTTAGAGAAGTCTTCCGGCTTTTTCCACACCCCGTCTTTCGCTTGCCTGGGAAGGAAAACAACAATTGTGTTCTTGTTTCATATACTTTCATTTATTCTGTAAATACAATGGTTTATCTAATGTGCAATTTATTTTAATAATAGTATCAAATCAAATCAATTGAGTTTTGTAAAACACTTTTAACCACCAGGATCAGTAATTTTGGATTACTAAAGCAATTTAAATATTCTCCATCTGCTGGCCATTTTAAGAACTGCAACATTTAAATCAATGGGATGCGGGGAATATGACGGTTTTATCCCAGTTTGACTTTTAAAAATCAACAAATTAGATCCAGTCCTTGGATTTGCTTAATTTAAAGATTAATCAAAGTAAATATTAGTCTCCTATTTTGTTTTTAATTGTGTGCATTAGATGGATGGCATATGAACCCCCATAAATCATTATGGTATTGCACAAGCATAATCATTTATTATTTTGTGGTTTGAAAGTTAGCTACCCCTTTCATCTAAATATAAGGCTGAAAATAGTAAAGTAAAGTGTGATAATTAAGCTTCTATCCACTCCAAAGCAAGTTAAACACAGCTGCAACTTTGAGGAGGTGAAGTGTGCCCCTCATTACCACAGAATAAAAATCTTTTATACTGAGATATTTGTAAAATGTCTATTCATTTCTTCAGCCTTTGCACGTCTCACTGTAATTCAAGGATACCACTCTGTCATATTTAATGCACGGAAATCCCCGAGCGCCCACTACAACAGATATCTTTCTTTGGTCCTTGTCTTGTCAGCAGATTTTTAGAAATATCCATATTGTTTGACACACTTGATTAAGGGTAAAGGAGGCTGAAGCGACACTTGCATTGGGGCAGATACAAAAAGAGTGAGTCTCATCCTTGCCCAGAAGTAGGTTATAACCAATCTGACATCTCATCTGAGTGGCAAAAACACAATGTACAAACAGGCATGAACAAAATATTGTAATTTGGGTACCTAACTTTTCAAACCAAAACCACACTTTGCATTACAAACCATCTACCGAGTTCCTAGTTCTCAAAACTGCTTGGTATCAATATTTTTCACATGCAGGAATTTTTGGCCTTGCATAAACCAGTACCTACAATGCACCAGCCCATCTGAGCCAAGCAGCTCTCAGAGAGAAAAAGATAAAATGTTTATTATGCTGTCAATTTGAAACTGGATTCAACCCTATTGCTTTGGAAAGGTTCAGGGAAAATATAGGTTGATCTTGTTAATCTGTGTGAGAACCACGAGCATGATCATTTATCTCATTAAAAGATGCCGAGCACGCCTTAAAAAGGAGATATTTAAAGTGCCCACAGCTTGCTGATTGGTAAGAATTGATAAAAGTGTTCGAGGCCCGTTGTCATTGGTTTAATCATCATACTGGGGGTAGTTGTCAAGGGTAGGGACTATTATAAATATATCATTGTAAAAAATACTTATTGTGCACATTACTACAGTGTAGGGCTGGGCGATAAAACGATAACGATATATATTGCGATAGACACGTGTTCGATATCAATAGAAAACGGGGTCGATAGAACTTCGATAGTTTCACTTCAGTCCGTTCAAAAAAAACAGGAACAAAACACAGGAAGTAAAGCCAAGTCAGAAGCGCACAGCATTCTGGGGTATGTAGGCAAAGGCTTCTCGACCTATCACAGCCGACTACAAACCGCAAAACTTTCTGGGAAAAGCAAAAAAACAACCGCACCATGCGTCCATGGATCATGGATCTGTTAAATAGCCATGGATCTAAAGATGGTGTTTCAGTGCCGTGTCAAAGGTTAAACACGTCCGTGCGAGGAACAGCATGTGCGGCGGCAGAGGCAGTGGGTACAGAGACTCGATGCATTCGGCAAAAGCAAGAGATTAACTTTTTCCGGAGCCGCCACGGGGACACAAGACACTCGAAAACAGCCAAAACAGGAGCTAAACCAGGATTAAACCAGGACTAAATTGGGGGAGACTGCTTGTGAACATTTACCTCCAGCCTCATTCCCCCGTGACTGTAAACAAGGCTGCTAACATGTGTTAGCCGACACGACAAATGTATTTATTTAAGTTTTAAAAAATAAATAAAAAACAATCAATATATATCGTTATCGACCGATATGAATTACTTATATTGTGATATAGTTTTCAGCCATATCGCCCAGCCCTACTACAGTGTCCCAAGCCCACAGTTATATGTATAAATTCCACTCATATAAATTTTTATAACAAACAAAACACAATTTAAGAAGGTCTGCAAAGATTCTCACAACAAAAATTGGTCAAAATCAACATTATTTTTCACCACTTCCTGTTACTTTCAGCTTAATCTTTTTGTTTAGTCACTTCTTTACAAAAATCTATTACAATTAGCTAAATGCGGCCACTAAAACTGTGATTGATTGAGATTAATCTTGGGTCTACAATACTTCAACATGTATACTATGGTGTCATTTGGGAAAACCAGGCATTTACATAAGAGAGTAAGTCTTTGCATAGGCTGTAATGTGACAAAAAAAAACTGGCCAATTTCAAAGTAAACAACTTTGAAATTGCTTGGAAGTAAACGACCTAATTACTTCTCTCTAAAATATGCATCGATATACAAAGCGAAAGTGCTTATAGTCCAGTCCATGTTACGGGAAATGTGGCAGCAATATTGACTAGAAATGTCTTTGTCAGGCTTGTCGTACTTGCGCATGGCGTTGAGTGTGTCGGTAATTGTCTTGCAGCGTTTTAACAAAGCGTCGAGTCGATGCGGTTCCTCTTTGAGAAACTTAACAGCCTCCACTTCCACCCGGAGGACGACTCGCATCTTACTTTGAAGACCTGGGAACTGATCTGAAAGAGAAGAAAGGATACATGTGAGGATTGCTTTAAATTATTTTGGGGGGAATTAGCGCTAGGAAAAAGGTTCTGCCCTTTTTTATTCCCACCTCTTTTTTATAATAATAGATTGATATGACTTTGATTGTGCAAGAGTTGTATTGTCAATATACAATCTTGTATCTAAAGCACATTTTGAGGCTGTGCAGAAAAGTCTAGATATACATAGATATTTCAAAACAGATGCAGTACCGATCCTTTAGTTTGAAGTTAGCGGAACAGATAAACCTCTGCACCTGTGCTCTACATCTATGTATTATATTGTGTATCTATTGTGCAAACTCTATCATTTACAGCTGTATAATTTATTTAATCTGGCTGTCCAAACTAATCCAAAATTCCAATGCAGTGTTGTTACGATACAAACATGTTAAATTCTATCTCAAAATGTATTCATTGGTTTCCAATACTGTTTTTTGATACTAAAAAACCGCACGTACTTTCCGTTGGAATGTGGCACACGTGTTGCTAACATGGTTGCAAAAGATAAACTGGATTTTCCCCCACAAACGAAAGGCAACCCTGGATATCATAGAGATATTTAGTCAGGCTCAACTCACTGTACAAAGGCCTATCCATGTGTTTATGATTACTCTGTATATTTGTTTTGTTTGTTTTATGGAACTGACTTTATTTTTAATTGTGAAGGGCTTTGTGATCCTGGTCTGTGAAAGGTGCTCCATAGATACATTTCTTAATTACTTACTGACTTACTATTGGCCCTACAAATTATGAATCTTGTCAAATAAGACCAGAGGTTTTTTTCAAAAAGTGGAGAGGGCGGTTCCTTCTTAAAATTTGGTAATATACTAAATAACTTTAAAAAATAGACATGGCTTACTTCCTTATACTTAAAGTGGTTCTCACCCCCGCTCCTCGGAGCTTACGTTACTCACATTTCTTGTTCAAATCTTCCTCTAAATGGGCGTAGCCTGGAGGACTAAAGGGGGCGTGAACGAGACTGGGCCGTTTATATAGCTCTGGGCGGGGGGCTGCTGACGTCAGGTCTTGCTTCAGACGTCAGGTCTTGCTGCCGCGCCAGTGTTGGCGCCAGATTCAAAATTCAAATGTAGTAATACAGGTCGCCAGCAGATGGCGCCTTACAGACGGTTTTAGGCAACTAATTTGCACCAAAGTGACAAGATTATGACCAGGATATGTAGACAACACTATTGGACACTCATTTATACAGTTTATCAGCAAAAAAAAGTGGATTTGAGGGTGAGTTGTCCTTTAAGCCCAAAAATGGTGAGTGAGACAAAAGCTTTTCAATGTAAGTCCATAGGAGGCAGTGGGAGTTGGAGCAAAACTTTGTCTATCTATAAACAGTCTATGCTTTTAACACCATTTAGTAAGTGAGTAAGTAAGTAAGTAAGAAATCTTTAAAAATATACCGCCTTTCACAGACCAGAGCGGTTCACAATTGTGGGCTTTTGTCTCTCACTCCACACAGAGATGGGAGTGAGGTCACCAGAACAGGAGGCACATGCCAGACCTATTGTACATGTTTTTAGTGGTAGGGGAAACCGGAGCACCCAGAGGAAACCTACATAGACACAGGGAGAACATGCAAACTCTACACAGAAATGCCCTGTTCTGATCGGGATTCCAACCCAGGACCTTCTGGCTGCGAAGCAAGAGTCCTATCTACTCAGCTACTGTGCCGCCCGAGCTGGAGCTAGCACAACATTCTAATCTTGTAAACACACGGATAGCTCTGACCAAAATGATTGTAAAAAACTATCATAAAACTATTCTATTGTCATCAACACATTCCACTGCTCATTACAACATGAGCAGTTCTGGCTGTTGACATTTGCTCTGGCGATGAATAACTTTGTTTGTTTTAACGCGAGAGCCAGAGAAAAGCCTGTGTTTTTCCCACTCCATGATTCATGTGCCAGAACCGTGACTCACTCTTCAGATCGGAGAGTGTTTCTCCCAGCTTCCTCAGAAGAGCCGTCTTCTCCTCCAGCTCCTGCACCGTCACCAGTTTGTGGTTCACCAACGAGTCCTTCTGAATCTCCTCCACAGACTTCTCCAGGTCACTGCAGAGCCACAGAAGAAGATTGGAGTGAGATTTGGGGAAAATGGCTTGAAATTCAACAGTAAATCATAAATAGGGATGAGAAATGTGTTTGTGTTTTCAGTTTATAATGATTTCAAAGTGTTGCCTGTAAATACCAACATCTTCTGATCCTCAATTAAATGCAAATTAGAAAAAAAACTGTAAACTATACATTTTTTCTATTGAGTGAAAACGATCATATGGTTTTCAATTATGTAATCACACTGATAAAGACTGACTTATCTCTTTGTGATTTTGCCTGTTTTAGGATCAACATAATATTGGTTCTGATAAACAAAAAAACAATTATCAGATCTAGTTCATTTTTTATGTATAATAATAATAATAATAACAAATCAGTTTTACTCTCAAAGACGCTTCACATGTCATTATTCTTTCTCTCCAAACACGGTGGTGATAAACTACTACTGTAGCCAAAGCTGCCCTGGGGCACACTGACAGAAGCGAGGCAACTAGTCTGTGCCATCGGCCCCTCCCACCACCACCAACCATTCACACACACACACCAGACTCATTCTAGGCAATGGGGGTGAAGTGTCATGCCTAAGGACACAACAGCAGTTTGCCACTTTACAGCCGCAGCCGCCCCACTGTGGCATCAGGTGTTTCCAGAGGTTAAGTGTCTTGCCCAAGGACACAACAGGAGTCGGTGGAGAAGATCCCGTGGTGGACTCAAACCCACAACCTTCAGGCTCAAAGGCCAATGCTCTCCCAACTGAGCCACTGTCGTCCATGTAGGTTTGGATGCAAAAACTGGCTTCAAATGCAACACTGAAAAGCAAAACTATAGAACTGTGACCTATTTATTGTGTTTATCCAACAAAAATGATCGAAAATAGTTTTTTAAAAAGCCTCTCTCGGCCAAGGAAGTGGCTGTCTTTAAAAAAATATTTATCTAAAACGTTACTGAAGCGAAATTCAAAACAATGTGGAAACTAGTGATGGACCCAAACTGTTTTAAGAGCTAGTTAGATTCATTTTTTTTTTTCAATTTCGATGCCAGTTTTGACTAATGGCTGGATGAAGAAAACAGTAACGAAGCAAAAAGTTTGTAGCATGAAAAGCAACTGTCAAAAAATAAATCAGCCTGAAGTTGTGTGAAGAAATCCAACTTCTTCTCTGCATAATTAACCAGTATAAATTGTCCATTAGCCGGGCTGGATTACTGACATTGATTATCAGGGATCAGGGAGTTGTTCAGTCAATTAGTGCAATCAAGACGCCACTCAAAGTTCAACACGGCGACAGGAGCAGAGGAAACCGCGGATCATTACGGCTGATTCACACGACGCTCAAACAATAAATCTGAATATCAAATCTGATCTGCAGTCACTTCAATTAACGCCTAGCCACACATCTAAATGAGCATCTCCCCCGATTTTGGGCATAATTATAACAGTCATTTCACAGTCTCATGAAGCCACATGGAATTAATAAAGGTGTAAAGTCAGAGCACATAATATACGTAATATATTATGGTTTTATTTTTATTTCTTCATTTGATATGGACACAACAGTTAGATTGAACAGACCAGATGCACTGTCTTTAGTGTTTTATCAACATTTATGGACTTTTACTTTTGGATGCGTTGGAAATGGTGGTTCTTTATAAATCCAGACTTTTAAAACAAGCTCTAAGAATTATCAATGAGTCTTCTGGCCACCTTGGAAAAGCCATGTTCCAGCTTCTTCCTTCTGGCAGGCAGAAGATAATGCTTGCTGAGGTGCAGGACATCTGGATATGCCAAAAGCTTCATTCCACAAGAAGATATCACAGTGACAATTGTTTCCTGTTTTATGTATTTTTACCTTGTTTTATGTATGTACTTGTCTTGTGTGGTTTTACTGCAAATGGGAATGAATCTAAAACGGCAGCAAGTCCTAAGTTTCTCTGAAACAGTTGTTTTGTGTTATTTTTCTTGCTTTTTTCTACCTGAGATGTTGCTGCAGTACAGCGTCTATGGTTTTGCACCAGTCCAGACAAGAGCAGAGACATTTCATGATCTGAACCAAGGGGATCAGGCAAAAATCCACTGGAGAAATGCCAACTTTTGGAAAAATGCTAAGGAAGCTTTTAGCATTTTACTTTGGACTAGAGCAGAGAAAATGCTCCGAACCATTTTGGCAGCTGCTTCATCTCTGCTGCTGTCACCTGAAGGGCTGTTGCATTTTAATACTATTGTTAGCTTTTTAGAATGATCTATTTATTTGTTTTGTTGCATGAATGGATGTGCTATTGGACACCCGCATTTCTTCTTTGGGGGACCAATAAAGTATCTATCTATCTATCTATCTATCTGCCCCTTATGGCCCAATACCAATGCGTTTTCCATCATTACATTTCTTGTGTTTGAACTGTTTGATTCTCTGATCTGTGTTGGTGAAATTAACGGTTTCGCAAAGTCCTCTGATTAAAACTACTGTTGTGATTTAGGGCAGTACAAGCATAAATTGAATTAAATTATAGCAAGACCATTTTCAATACATGTCCTAGAAGGATGTGACTCTATGTAGAAGTAACAACATGTTCTGACAGGTATGAAGTTCTTTTCTTTTGTGATTAAGTACTGTTGTATTTATAAATACCCTGACACACTAAAACGCATGTGTTTGGTGACCTCTGGAATTCTGGGTTGGAGGCCAGTCTTTTCTTATACATCGGAGGTGTCTTCTTGTGCCATCAACTAAACAACAGATGGATTCTGCTGTTTGGATTTCACCCCCTAGTCTTGCTCCTGCGACTTCTGCACTTTTCACCTCACTCCATCAGGAGTGGGTTGACATGACTGGAGTCTTCTAAGTCTACTCATTTGTCATATGATAATACACATAACCTTTCTTAACATATATTTACTTCATATTTTAGGTGATTTCATGTACTTAGATATTAGGTTAATTAGTGTGATGTGTTTTGTACTGCAATAGGTTTGTTCTTTAGGAAAGCGGGCTGTTGAGACTAATCAGGGGAGTTGTTTAGACAACAGAGATTGATCCCAGACTAGTGACAGCTGCTTGGAGCCTTAGGTTAGGAAGCATGATTTCTGTTTTAGGTCTGGCAGACGGAGGAAAGGCCGGACCCTGGACCGGAAGCTGCCTGATACGACACGCCCCCTTCTTCCTGGACATCTGCTGATATGCTCTGGCTTGAGGCGGGGGCTCACAGTCAGCACAGGGCCAGAGAGGGACATGGATAGTTTTAGGAGCTCTCTTGTTGAATGTATCTGATTGTAACGATAAATTAAATACAGATGTTAAACTTGGAGATCTTTTGTCTTACTTCTGCATCAACTTCGAACACGTCCGTCAAAGGATATTTTTGACAACAGCGCCAAATGCATGTGAAAGTTAGTTCCTGTCTGAAATGTAAAGCCAAGCAGGGTATGGCCTGGTTAGAACTGTGATGGAAGAAAAGGCAGTAAAGTTGCCTAGAATGAGTCTGGCGAGTGCGAACGGTTGGTGGTGGTCAGAGAGACATATGGCACGTATGTCAAAGGTGCCCCAGGGCAGCTGTGGCTCCTTTAGTAGTTTAAAAAAACACAGTGCATTGAGTAAATGAATAATACCATGAGAGAAACATATTTCAGAGTCTCAAAAAGCACCGCACAAAACCAATGCATTATTCATTGTTATCCTTTGTCTACAGCACTCATGAATCAATATTACATTTAGTACATTTTGAAAACTTAAGCAAAAATGTTTTCATAAAAAATCCGTAATTTCTCAGTAATTCTTGGGTCAATCCACAAGAAACAAACTGCTACAAAGTTCAACATCTTGTTTGTCAGCGCACATATAATAATCTATATCTAACTATTTTCTCATAAATGTGTCTTGAACTGGTACAAATGATGAAAATAAATATTTGGATGATGTTGGTCAGACATAAGAATAACATGGTGCGTTCGTGAATCTAATAATGATCAATAATAATTTCAACATTTGGACATTTTCTTTTTTCTCAGCATTTCTTTCTATATAGTTTTCAATCACATTTCAATAACATGACCCGATGTACCTATGGAAGTGACCTGCTCCAGAGTAAACAGCTAAAATCATCTCTGTTAAGACACCGTGTTATTTATTATTGTAATCCTTTGTGTGATTCTAATGTTTTAATGTTTTTAATTACCAGTGTGATTTTGCCTTTGTTTATGTCATGATTTGTGCCTTGTGTGGTGTGGACTGTGAGGTGCTTTGTGTTACCCTGTGTAGGAAAAGCGCTCTATAAATAAAGATTGATTGATTATTGCAAAGAAAATACACAGAGGAATTAACATTAAGCCCCACAATACATTTCAACCTGTTATTAGTTCGATGCAGTAATTATTATGACGAGTTTGTGTTGTTGTGATACTGACTGAAGCTGCTGGATGATCAGCTCCTCTTCGTTCAGATACTTAAGTCTCTCCTCTTCCACCAGGAGGCGCTGTCTCTGCAGGGGGTCCTCCTGTTTCCTGAGCGCATCAGCCACGCGCACGTTCAGCTCCGTCTCCGTTCGCTTCAGCAACGTTCGGATCGAGTCCTGGTTCTCAAGCTGCACACAGCATACAAAACGGACCTCACTTTTGAAAACATAGAACAAACTTTGATGTACAAACATGTCACAGGCGTTTGTCCAAAGATATATAGATTAAACGCAAATCAATATTAACGTTGTCATTTTATTTTCATTGCACAATTATTTTTTATGTGACCAACTTTACTTTTTTTTGTAGCTGTGGCCTCTGTTAGTAGTAAAACAGGCACTGGTGTCTGTGTTGGGTTTGTGTTTGGCCTGTTACCTGCTCGCTCCCTGTGAAAGAGACCGGTTTGTTTGGTGCAAAATGCCGACATACGTGTTAACAAGCTTCTGAATGGAAAGTTAAGTATCATAAAGTTGGCAGAAGGGACATACAAGACCAAAGTTATCTGTAAATAGTCGGTGTGAATTAACTTTATTTTGTATCATGTTTTTGATCCCTTAGAGAGGGGAAGTTGAAGAGGCTTTTTTGTCACCAACTCTATTTACGATCTGTTCATTGACAGCACTGATTTGTTCGACATTATGCATCACATATTCAATAAGGTCCTGGGTTGGAATCACAGGGCTTTTCTAACGTGATGTTTGCATGTTCTCCTCGTGTCTGCATAGGTTTAAAAAAAAAAAAAAATAGGTACCAATAGTTACAATAGGTAATATCCCTGCAGCTCTGGGAGTCAAGCTGAGCATCAACATCTGGAGGTGGGTTTGGTTCTATCACTAGTGTCGATGTGTCACAACTTTAGATCGGCTTTTTCATAAGTAAAAATAAGAGGACCACCTCCCTCACTCAGCCAATCAGCTCTCAGAATCTAAAAAAGAGACTATTTTTCCAATAATATAAAGACAGCATGTTGTGGTCTGACTTTTTCACAAAATCTTTTGGGACAATTAACATGTATATATTTGTTTATCTGAAAAAAGTCCCTCCTGTGGACTCACCACCTGCAGAGGGTCAGTGAGGGGCTGGTGCTATGAGACTTGGGTAGCATCTCTGATTGCCACCCCCCTGACCCAGAAATGGATTAAAGGGTAGAAAATGGATGGATGGATGGATGAAAAAGTTAGGTACTCCAGCTTTAATGGTGATGTATTTTACCAGAGCTGAGCATTGATAATACATGTTTGTTTTTGTTCTCTAACAGGCAATAATTGTTTCATGTCCTAGAGCCATAGATTAGAATAATAGAAGATAAACCATTCTGGGAATAAGCACTGCGGATGAATCATCTGCTTTACAGTAATTATAAAAGAGCTTTATATCATCAACAGGTCAAGTTTAAACAGAACTTTGTGTTTAATCCCTGGGACACAGTGTGCAGCTGATGAAAGAAAAAGCAATGAACTTTCCAACCTCTTAAAAACCAAGCTAATATATTTATGCTGTTGTTCAGTGTGGGTGATAAAACTCTCACAGAAAATGTATACTTTGGCCTGTCACGTTTTAAAATGTGAGATAGTTTCTTAACTAGACAATAATGTATGAATAGAGATGACAAATTGAGTAAGAGAAGACAAGAATTCAGCAACACTCCCATTGAGTGGTAGAAGTGGCCAATTACATTTTGCCATTACAATTATTATTATTATTATTATTATTATTGAAGGCACGCAGTTATAAAGACCTACATTTTGACACGAGCAATTCTCAAAACTAATTTAGAAGCAATACTTTGTTCGCCAGCCAAGCGCCACCTAGTGCTACGCTCAGTTTCATTTCACTCAGTTTCATTTCACTCCTGCTAAAAAGAAATGCAGAATTGCAGACAGCTCAGAGAACCAGCAAGTACAACCGGCCAATCAGCAGTAGTTTGTAGCTCAACAAAGGTGTATACAACGTGGTCAAGATGGATGTAGACCAAGCCAGAGTCAGAGCCAGAGTTTGAAAGACATTATTATCATGATTTCTAAATAGAACTAAAGTACCTGCCCACTGTAGAGCAAACGAATCATAACGTCGCGATTTCAGACGAGTTCCACAAAGGTAAATAAAATGACAGTTTGCACTTTGAGTTTGAAAGGATGAACGCTGCTGCAGCCATAGCATAGATATCAACAATTTATGAATCTCTAAATGACGCAAAGGTTATACCAGAGCGTGGAACCATCAAGGCAATTAAAACACCATCAAAAAGAGCAGAATCCACTCTTTAACTATTTCACGTTTCTAATTTAGCACTTGTTTTGGCCACTGTTCAAGACACCAGCCCTGCTCTGTATAATTCATGAGGCACATGTAATATTTACGCCAGTGGCCAGAGCCAGGGGCCGCAGGACGGGTTCAGGTGCCGGGGTCACCCATGGGCAAACAGCAGATAAGCATCATCCTTTCTCTCTGCAGCCGTTTGTGAGCAAGAAGGTTCCTGTCACGTTACATTTACAACAAGATCACTGTGTGTGTTATTGAAAAACTAGGAAGCTAATGCAGAAGATTCTTGTTATTGGAGAGGGATAAAGGTCAGTGTCAGTCGGGAGCAGAGCAGAGCATTTGGACTCAGGATTAAGAGATAAGATAAGGTAAAACTTCACTCGTCCCTCAGTGGGGAAATTTAAATGTCAAAGTTGTGCAAATTAGCAGAATAAAAGGAGAAATTATGGGCACTCTGAGCAGAAAAATGTACTAATAAATCTTTGTGCCAGAAGTTACTCATATTAGAGAGTATAGATCTGTTGTACATGTTTTTAGTTGTAGGGCAAACTAGAGAACCTGGAAAAAACCGGAGCACCAGGAGGAAACCGGAGAACCTGGAGAAAACTGAAGCATCTGGAGGAAACCTTCTGTTTTTGGATAGAAGTGGTGGAGAGACATGTTTGTGCCAGAAGTCCCTCATATTAGAGAGAATAAATCTGTTGTACATGTTTTTATTGGTAGGGGAAACTAGAGCACCTGGAAGAAACCGGAGCACCAGGAGGAAACCTTCTGTTTTTGGATAGAAGGGGTGGAGAGACATAGAGGATAGATTTAAAAACAACTCAGTATTTGATGAGGGAACCACATTGTAACATGATCAAAGGCTCCAAAATGGCGAGATAAAGAGTTATACGTTATACCTGCATCTTGCGCAGCTGTGAGAGCTGTTTGCGGAGGTCGGTGGCGTTCTGCTGCAGCCCGTGGAGGTGGAGCTTCATCTGCAGTCGAGCCACACTGTTCACGTGCAGCGAGTTTGTGGGCGGAGGCGGCATCAGAGCCAGGGGGGCCGAGGGGGTGTGGCCTGTCAATCACAAAGATTTACGGGTTTTAGATAAGAAAGAAGAACATATATTGATTAGAATTGTCCCACGTGGTTCGCTCATAGTGGCAAAGAAATGAGCACATGACATTGCTCGATAAGCTAAAACACGGTGTAGAAGCCAAACACAGCCATACTCACAAAACTCTTACAGCCCCCTGGGGGAACATCATGCTATTTGTAAACTATAGGAAAGAGCAATTACACCGTTTAATAAAGACACACAATCCATGCTGTTATGTTTGTAAAGGGCTTTGTGAGTATGACCCAGAATCCCCAGGAAGTTTAGGACGCACTTACCTTCGATACTGAACAACAAAATAAATACTTTTGTTTTTGCTCGTATTTTCCTGAACTAAAGTTTTAACTATAAAACATTATCCACAGGCTTAGTGAGTACCCAAGCTTACAAATGTATGGTTGATAATTAGATCTATCTATAATGGTAAAAGTGAAAAATGATGTCCTACTCTTTTAATAGATAATAATGAAATTGTTAGACGCATTTAGGCAGAAGGGGTGAGTGGGTGTATTTGTGTCCATTTGTGCCAGAAGTTCCTGATTTTAGTGTGAATGGAGTTAAAAACATCTCTTCTTGAGGATCCAATCAACAAATTAGAATGACTAGAAACTCAAACAAGTAGCATTTTCCTGAATTATGTAACTATAAAGTTAAACTCATGAAAAATGGGAGCAAAGACAGAAGTGCTTACATTATTGCTCGGTAAACATAAACATTGACATTAAAGCAGATATTTGGGCAATTAGCAACAAAACCACCCTCTGAAAATCCCAAAAGCAGAAAATATAGAAGAGAAAGAAATTGACTGAAGAAGGAAGGGGTTTGTTCTGGAGGACAGGAGGACAGACAAGACCAGATGCCAGCCAAACCACACGCCCAGAGTAAAGGGCAGGAGCCATGGGAGAGGCCCGGGGGGGAGGAAATTAAACGGGTGAAAGGACATGAAGATGACAACTACCTTTGAGCTTATGTCGTCCAGCTGGAATATAAAAAAAGGGTTCAACCAGTTACCATGGCTTTAAAAACCAAAGGATTTTATTTGCGTTTTAACCTACTCAAAAGTGCAGGAAAAGAGCTATATCTCTAGACTGGGGCTTTCTGAGTGGAGTTTGCATGTTATCCCCGTGTCAGTATGTTTCTATGTGCATGAGCTCCTCTCTCTCTGGGGCTAGGACTCCCCTTTCTTGGTTAAATAAAAGTCAATATGCAATTTTCTGATTAATGATGTTATTTGTGACATAGAAAAACGTGGCATGCAAAAATAGTCTCTTTTTTTATTAGAAGGTTGCTGCATGAAGGCCTTTCTGCTTTATAACCAAGACCATTTTGACCAACATTGTTTTTAATTTACCAGGTTTCCATCTCAATTGTCAGTATTTTTCCATCATTTATATTTCTTGTCATGAATTTCAGCTAGCTATTGACATCCTTCCTTTGGAACCTCAATCTCTGACAACAGACCCAAGTACATGAAACAAAGTTGGTAATTTTTATTTGTTTGCGTATATCTGCATGTTAGTTGCATATCTCGCATGCAGTTGGCTGATGCTTTTACTTTGTCCATCCAGCCCAACACCGAAGCAGCTTGAGTCGAATCGAGCCGCTATTGAGTCAGAAAAAACCGAGTCTGGTGAAAGTGCTTGGGTTGTCAGGCCAATTATCAAACGGCAGAAAATAACTATCGAAAGTGGAGTGTTGGCTGGTTGCCTAGTAACTTGCACCCAACAGAGGAAAAAGTCCCGAGAGCACCGTCAATAAAACGCAAGCTGTGGATTTAAAAGGGCTGAAACCACAAGAGTTTGTGTTAATTAATGGGTTTAAGAGGGACTGTGAAGTTGAGACAATCGCAGAAATATAAGCCATTGTCTGCAACAGGATTCAGTTAATGGCATTGGATCGAGCTACACCAAAAAGGAACAACTTTCAACTCCTCAAATGCATACCGTACACTAATTTCACATATGTAGCTTAAACATGATGTCATCCTACTATGGACGTCAGCCACATAAGGAATGCCAGTGGTTCATTTCTACATATAGATTTCAATAATATATAAAAAAGCTGATATCTTAGCTATGCAGGTTTAAATTGTCATTCTAGTGATTAAGAAATAAATAATTATGTAGAGCACGTTTGAGTGCAACTATATGATTTTATTAAAACACAGTGACAATTGAAATGTTTCCTTACCTGTTTTGTACTTCGAGTTGCCTGTGTATAAACTTGCCTTGCCTTGCCCGTTCAGACTGACTGAACCAAGACTAGGGCACAGGTGGCATCTTCTCTGACCACTAAAAATCCCTCACTCACCAAATTCATACTATACATAGTGCATGTTTTGGGTGATGAGGGAAACTAGAGCCCAGGGAAAAGGCGCCCACAACCCAGAAATACAGGGACATGCAAAAATTGAAATTAACATTTATCGTTGGCCAGACTCTGCACAGCTCTGAGTGAGTCACGACTGGATCTCAGTGAAGTATGAAGCAGCAGATGGATTAAGGAAACTTATGGAATGAAAATCCAAATGGTGATATTGCCCACTCCAAATCTGGTAATCATAAAGTACAAGCATATAATGTAATTAACTATGTGGAAGCGGACTACCCGAGACTAACTTGATGTCACCTATACTGTTGTGGGAAGGATCCAACTCAAACAGGCCCCATAGGTGGGAATCTGGAGCCAAATTTGTGGATGGCAATGACCTAGCAACCAAAGAGCCAATCAGGAGAGGCTCTGGTCTATACCCGCTTGTGCACCTTGCAAGTCAAAGCCGACAAAGGGACAAAAGGCGCCTGATTGGTCAATTGTTAGGGGACATAGCTAGATTTCTAAAGCCATTATAAATATATAAACACCAGGATTATACAGAACAGGTAATCACAGCCTTGTAAGCCCCAAAGTGAATGGGAAAAAATATGTCCATGAGCCGATCCCTGTTAGCCTTCACAGAGCTAGTGTGTTAGCATTGTCCATTCCCATATACTGTCTGGGATGACACCGCTGATTGACCTCCAGTCAAGCTTTTCATATATTTATGTATTATAAAATCTCTCATTAGCCGATTGACACCTGCCGCGCCTCGACCTCAGTACTCACTTCCTGTAGCCGAGCCGTCGCTGTTGGTTTCGGTCTTCTCGCTGGAAGAAAAAGGTAATGTCCGTGAGAAGTCCGTCCCTTGGTCCGGAGGGCAGCCCGCCATCATGCAGAGACGCAGCAGGCCGCACCTGAGGATCAGCAAGGCCATTACGGTGCTAACGCTAACAGCACGATCGATTTAAGCTTATAGGCTATGCACTTACTTACTGTAGCCTATATCTGTCATTGTCAAGTAATGGCACAATATTAAGATGTATAAATAAGTAGGGAAATCCAATTAAAGCAACCCGACATCGATAGAGTGCTTGAGTCTAGTTGTTTCTCTAAATAATATGCCTCTTCAGTGAAATAGCTGTGATGATGCTCCTGATCATAATAGCCTGCTGGTGCGAATGTCAATACTAGCATGTGTGTTGAGTGTGATAGCAGGTTTTAGAGGCCCTCAACACTAAATTAAGGGTCTTACGTGCTGTCACTGTCGGGCGCTCTGGTCAGCACACTCTGTACCAGGCCGGTCAAACTGGCGATCTGCTTCTCCATGGCTTCCATTCTCTCCAAACGATGGTCCCTGTGATATTAAAGTGGTACATAATAGAGTTATCCGTCCACTCATGTGTGAGAAAGCAGTTGACAAGCACAGGGTCACTGGATAGAGGGTTGAAGCAGAAATATACAAATAATTCTATTCTATTAACCTGTCTTTTCAAAACACCACACACTAAAAAGAATATTTTAACTCAAATGACAAAAAGTGTCTGGGTTAATTCTGGTCGGTGTGGCATATTGTATGTAATGTTGTGTTTTGTGCTTTGAAACAAGAAAACCAATAAAATGTGAATTGTGAAAAAACAAAAAACAAAACCATACAACTTGAAGAATTTGGTTATAATACTCAAAAGCATTGTTTAACCTTTTAAGTCCATGGAATCATGCTGCTGATGTACCAGTAGGCCTGTCACAATTAGACATTTTCTATCATGATATATTGTTCAGAAAATGATTGTAATTAAAGCTGCACTAACTGACTTTATTTTTGTATTCATTACGAAAATGCTATCCATGTCCGTGTAGGGCATTGGGATATACGTTCTTTTGACGAAAAAGTTTTGATGAAACAAGGAAGAGAATGTGTTTCGGGTCGCGGATTGTGACCAATCACCGCGGACCACTGGCCCCCACTTTTGTGAGAAATCTACAGGTCTCCGTTAGCATAGACGGCTGAGTTAGCACAACAAGACGAGGAGCTAACCTGAAGCTTCGTCTCTTCATCACCGGTTACTGCTTACACAGCGAGACAGCCATCCAAAAGAAAGTCTCGTTCCTCCGCGCTTCCCGGTTCTATCGTTCTATGGTCACGCCATCCACGTGCAAATCCATGTCCATGTATTATCCATATTGGGAGACACTAGCTCCGTCAACAACAGTGGGTGTGTGTGGGGGGCGATAGCTTCGTGGGTGCGGGGAGGGGAGCAGAAAGAGAGAGGCCAGCGAGTCTGCTGCTTCAAAATCCCAAAGTCAGTTAGTGCAGCTTTAATTATATAATTGAAACTATGTTATGCCAATGATGCAAGTACAATACTGAGGGAACATTTGTCAGTCTATCTATTGAAGCTATCCTCTAGCTAAAATGTCAAGAAAGAAAATAGCAAAAATATGTCCTATTTTGCATTGAAATTTATTGGCCCAAAATATGCAGTTCTGTTCATTAGTTATTGAACCGGTTAATATGGTAATTAGCATGATGCCTACAATCTCACTCAGGACGTTGACATTGGCATCAACATTTTGAGCGAGAAAAGATTGTATTTGCATATTTAACTACACATATGCATTGCACTGTGAGTCATATGCTCATAGGCAGCTAATGGAACCATGGCCCAGACTGACCTGCTGGTGTCTCCATCCTGTGTGGACAGTGATCCGAAGCCTGGGGTGGCCCGGCCGCTGTCCCCTGGCCCCGCTGTCAAACACAACGGCTCTGAACCGGAGCTCGGCCTGGATTTGGGACTATCCACAAACACTGAGGAGGACGAGTCTTTGCGGAACGACTGTCTGACAGGTGAAGCCCGCGGGGTGCTGGAGTAGTCCCTGTCCCGCAACTCAGAGATCTTCTGTGGGGACGAGGGCGGCATACGAAAGCCCATACCCAACGTGGCCGAGGAGTATGTGTCGTAGATTGAACTTCCGGGCTTGTACAGCGGGTCATCGAGCTCTCCTTGCAAAGCAGCGGCCGAGTATGTGCTTAGAGAGCGCACGGAACCGCGCCGATACAAACCGCTCGTCACCGGAAAGCTAAATGGGTCGCCTATGGCTGCTAGCGACTGCGTAGAAGCGATGCTAAGCCGACCCTCATGCATCAAACTGTAGGGATCTGCGTACAGGCTTTCATTCTTCATTAGCGCCATGTTTTTAGCCGAAACCTCTTCATCAGGTTTGACGTCGCGGCGCTCCAAGATGGCGCTCGGGGAGGGCGTGAGACCGGTGTTGGGGCCGTGCGAGGGCGAGCCGTGGTGCGGGTGTCTTGGCTGGTCGTGCTGGGATCCCGCGATGGCTGGGGGCCGGCCTCCGCTGTAGGAGAGCCGCGAGCGTGAGGGAGAGCTGGATGCAGAGCCAGAGGAGGGCAGCGTGTTGAGGCGCCGCGTCGGAGAGGAGTCCCGAGACGAGTACACCATCTCTCTCTGAAAGGAATAGCAAGAGATGGGTGTTACTATGGCGACCTGCAGATCAAAGTGCATATGTGGTTGTGATCAATTTATATTCATAGTATCTGCTGTATTCATGGCTAGAGGTCAGCTGACTGTAAAGAAAGACCATGCTGTGTAGAAAAGATACATTTTAAGTCGTAATATCCAACTTAATATTAAAGATATGTACGAAAAATACTGATTATTAACACAAAACACCCTACAAAACAAATCAGTACTTTTACAAGTTCATGAGTATCATTATAGTTCAAATAGGTCACAGTACGAAGACAGGTAAATTGTTGATAATTGGATAAAGCATGTCAGTCTGTGTTTGTATGATACTCAAACTGATATATTTTTTATCTTAATTTTCACAATCAGCAGTAAAGCTACCCACTGTACAATATGGTGTAGAGTTGGCTAAAGAATGTGAGAAAAAAGGCGGGTGTGTTCTGTTAGTGAGTCGATGAGGTAAGTACAAAAGTAACTATTGTTGGAGATGTAGCAATATACTTCACACCCCCGCCGGGGCACTGCTATATTCTATACTAAACAATAGAGAACAAGTTGTGCTGTTTCACAATTTTAAGTAAAAGGCACATGATGGCTTATTTGTGCAGGTCATTTGAATATGTCCTCATTTCGGTTGAATTAAATTGGAGAGTGCCTTTGTCTAACAACACAAGGACACATTACGTGGCTGCAACAAACTTCTCTCTGCACAAAACTGTTGAATATACATAAAATCCAGATGGTTAAGTAAGGTTTCGTACAAAATCCTTATAAAAAGGTCTCCCTGAGGGTTCTTTGAACTCCACTGGAGCAGAAATAGCTTTGGATGTTGAAATATGCTTTTTTCACAAAGGAACAATGTTCTCTGGTGCCTGAAAAGCAACAGATGTCCTACTTGAAGATAAGAAAACACATTTCCAGGAGGAATACCTGTAAAATTACAAACACTCCAGCAGCTTGTCAAAGTAACGATTGAAATACAAATACTAGCTTCAAGCCTTTATGTGGCTGTACAGGAGATCTACGGAAGCTCCAATGTTAGCACTGAGGATAGTGCTTATAACGACTCTGACAGTCAAGATCACACATGTTTTTGACCATCATTTAAAAGTGTCTTTGAGCAGGACTTTCCAACATGTTCTCGTTAAAATGTATGCAATTTTAAAGAAATTGACAGGGCATTTAATCACTTGAAACGTGAAAAAACCATGATTCTATTATGAAACTAAAGGAACTGTTTGTAATATGAACTCTTACTGGTTTAATAAAGTCATTTTGTTGACAGAATCTTACTGCCTGTAGCTTTGCGCTTGAAGTAACAATACACATTTAAATAAAAACTCAGTTCAGTCAATGTGAACATGGGCAAGACACACACCTTTCTTAAACTGATCATGGTGGTGAGTTTAGTTCATGCACAGCGGGACAGCACTTCACAGCAAGAAGGTCCTGGGTTCAATTCCAGCTCCAGACAGGAGTGTGCATGTTCCAACCAAAAAAAAGAGACTAATTCTGCTCTCTTTTTAACATTATAATTTTCCAACAACATTTTGGATCCCAGCCCTATGTCATGGTTGTGTTATTTTCTACTTAGTTTTATTTAGATTTAATTTATCTGTGGTTTTGTTTTAGTTTAGTTCTACTTCCTGTCCTGTCCCCTGTCCCCATGTGTTGCCGGTCCATTGTCTGTGTCCATTTTTTGCCTCTTCCCGCGGTTCCCGTTTTTCTATTACCATCACTAAATCATTATCAAACACCCTCCCCCTTGGACTCACCCTCAAGTCCCCATTGGCCAGGTGAGGCGCGGCAGGGTAGGAGGCGTAGATGGGCTCCTTGCGGTAAATCTTGATGATGCTCCGGTCCTGGATGTCCCTCACGTCCTCTAGCTCGTAGAACACATTCCGCGCCTCGTCTTTAATCAGGATGGCGGTGTTGGGCGACTTTAGCATGCCCGCGGTTAGCTTCTGTGGGAACATGTGCACGATGAGGGCGTGGAGGGTGTCCATGCTGGTCAGCTCGTGGGTGATGTGCACGCGCCTCGTTTCGTCGCCGTATTGGAGGAAGAGAACCCCTGAAAGGTTACGGGAACCAAGGTTAGACACGACCTCGGCCAGATTGGATGAAAGCAGCGCCGTGCAAAGGTCTGAGGCAACGGTTCAAGAATGAAATGTCGAAGGGAAATGTCTTAAAACAAGATTTGCCAACGGAGCAAGCATCAGAATGGGCCGTGTTTTACTTTAATTTAGACTTCTAATTTAGATTTCTGAGACTGAGAATTTCTCAAATGGAAAAAACTGAAAAATGGTTCTGTGCTTGAAATAACAATACAAATCCCAAAAAAACCTTAATTTGATTGCAAAGGTATAGCTTGTATTTTATCATTCCTATGTCAATGTGTCGTTAAAAAAGTCGGTACACTTCATACTTTTCTGTGTGAAGTTTGCATATTCCACCTGTGTCTGCGTTGGTTTCCGAGTGAACAGTTCAGGATTAATGAATGTGTGTTTGTGTGAGTGCGACTGTGTGACCTATCCAAAAAATATATCAGAAATTAGTCATTACAAAATACATCATTTGCAGGATTTGATAGATTAGGATTTTTATAAATGTTGCTTCAGTGCAATCAGTATATGCACAAACTTGAGAATAACATTTCCACTATAATCTGTGTTTGAGAATTTTCTTAAGGCTTTGAAATTAAATTCGGTTAAGCATAATAATCCAAAATTCGTCTCGAACTTTTGCACGGCACTGCAGCTTTGACTCCACACAACACACACATAGGGTCTCTATCAAAAACGTGTTAAATCAAAGGACAAGGAGCCAGGACGGGGAAAAACAATAGAAAAAACATATCCATGCTTTTGTCGTGTGTTTTTTGAAAAGGTCTGATGCCTGACTGACCTGTAAACTCATCTTCACACATCGTAGGACACACGACAAACACAGCAAAGAAAGACCAGTGATTACAGATCAGAGCGGTGTTATAGAGCACAGGAGAAAGGGAAAGAAAAGCAGTATATAGTAGAGCATTAGTAGCAGACAGATCGGCATGTACTCCCTTCCAAATCGCCCCATAAGTCAGTGTCACTTATATTTACAGCCTCCCTTCACACACGGAGCTTGATGTAAGAGCACATTGGAATATTTATGGCCTCCCTCCTCATTTTAACCCGGAGAGGAGAGAATGCATCGCAATACACAAGAGATTTTCCCCATTAAAGTCTCCTCATAGTCACTTATGTATGTTATCTTATGTATTATTATTATTATTTTTTAAGATAATAGGTAGCTAGGTAGACAAAATACGTATTAGTCATTCAGCCATTTAACTTGACCAGCCAACTCTTGATAGAATTATTAGTATCAAGACCATAGAAAAAAAACATTAGTTGATAAATACAGTGTTTTGTTTGCTTCTTGATTGCACCAAAGTTAGATATTTTTTACACTTACTTCTTTTGTTTTTGTACTTAATTATTGTGTTTTTATCCCGCTAAAGCTAGAGATTTTATACGGATTCTTTGACATGATAAAGTTTTATTTGATTTTGTTTTATTTAGTAATTATACAGTTAGCTTCGTTAATCTTCCCACTCCTTTTTGAGCTATAACGGGAGAGAGAAAAAAAAAAAAAAAAAAATGTATATATATATATTAATGTAAATTTCTATCATGTATTATATGTAATTGCTGTTAAATCTATAATTGATAATACCTGTTTATAAGCTTAAAATAAAATACAATCAATCAATCTTGTGCTGTGTGTGCTCCTCATTCCTACTGGTCTGTATCTGGTGATGCAACACTGAAATTTCCCCGCTGTGGGACAAATAAAGCGTCTCTGATCATAACTTATCCTAAATACTTGGATGGTCCGGTTGTGGACATTGCATGGCATACCATAAAATCTGTGTCAAATGATGTTGAATCATGTTTAAAGCTGGGGTACCTAACCTTTATTTTGGACGGTAAATGTAGAATTGATATGTTTCGTAAAGCTGACATAAAGGTGAGACAAAAGCCAACAAATTTTAGAAAAATGTTTGAGATAAAGGGATTTTATGACATAGTTAAGTTAGATTTGTTGGGGTTTGAAAGTTGGTTTAACCCAGTTTTCAAATGTTGATTCATAACATTATCAGTATTGTTTGTTTGTTCTGGCCCATTTCTATTTACCCCTCTATTGATGATGCAGCGCGGCCACACGTGGAAGGACACACGGCTGGAGGACGCTAACAAACAGTAGTAAATAGTCCAAACAATTCAAGTAAAACGAGAAATCCATTCTATTCTATTCTTCAAATCTGAGTGTCTCTATCCATGCCAAATGTGAGATGTAAATTTCTCCTATGTGAGATAAATAAAGCTTATCTTATTTTGGAGCTGGTCCAAGAACATTTGCAGTGTCATGGATTGGAAACATAATGTTATGGTGTGGACTTTTTGATTAATTTTCCTTGTTTTATTTTGTTTTATTGGTTCATTGTCTAGTTTCATGTCTGTTCTGTTAATTGCCTGTCCCGCCCTAATGTGCTTCACCTGTGTGTCCCTGTGTGTATTTAAACCCTGTGCTCCTCTCCCCTTGATGTTGGTCCATTGTTGTTTTGTCCCCGTTTTGTCCTGGTTTAAGGTTTTTAGTTTTGTACCCTGGATTTTGTTTTTGTTTATTAAATTTTACATTTTGGCAGTCCTGCATCCTTCCCACTTTGTGACACATAATACCACATTCATCCAATAGGTTGTAGTGATAAAAACTGGACGATGTTGGGTCAATTTCTCAATGTTTGAAATAGAAATAATTGGAACAGAACACGTCTCCAGAACACAAACAAACCATGATGCAAACTACATCAGAATTTAAGCTTCAATTGAATCATGTTTTATGGAAATGTTGTGGAATTTCTGCACTGACCATAGATTAAGTTATGGATAAAAACTGGGCAATTTGGGCAAAACTCTGTCACGTTGTCATGTCTAAAGAAAATAATGTGTCCCTCACCCATTCAGGGAAATGGCGTAATAGCTTAGTCTTAATCAAGGAGTATGTGGCCCACGGAATTGATTAAAAGTAACTATTCCCCCCTCACCCTTTTTTCTTTCTTTTTTCTCTGTGATAATTAGGGTTAGTCGATCTCTACTCTGAACTTTACAATGGTCTAGTTAAATTTTTTGTCTCTTATACATATTGTTTATCTTTTTAACACATATTGAGTGTGCCTTTTGCCATTATTGTGTCTGGGGTTTAGAATATAACTTTGCCATGTACTGTCTGCAGGTGTGGTAGAGGGGTTATAAAGCTAGGGTACATAACTTAATAAATTATACATGTCCTAAAGCTGTGAACAAATCCAACCACAATATTCTCATTTGGAAGTATCTTCTGCATACTTGTAAGGAAGAGCCCTGTGAGTCACTATTTGGGTTGAGAGAGGATCGGAGTGAGGGTGGTGCTCTCTTTTTCACTTTTCTGTCTGAAAACTTTGATCCAAAGATGTGACAAAGGCCAGAAATGTACATGTTGAAAAAGCACATGTTGATTAATGTGCACTGTCCCAATTCAATTAAACATTTAAATACATGAACGTGAACTAGTGATAGAAGCAAACTGTTTTGAGAGCAAGGGAATTTATTTTGTGGTTTATAAATGCATCATATTTTAGTTTGTCCAATTTGTCGAATCCTGGAGATGTCTGCTGTTATAGTTGTACTTACCTGGCGAGCGGAGTTTATTCTGGCTGGCGGAGCGGGACAGCGGCAGGCTCTGGCGGAATCGGTTCATGCGGTTGAATCCGATGGGGACGTCCGCCTCAGACATGGTCTCCAGGGACTCGGCCGAGGCGAAGGAGAGCTTGGCGGCCTGGTCTGCGAGACCAGACTGAGTGGACTGGGAGTGCCTGGGACTGCGGCTCTGCTAATAAACGACACAAAAAACATGCATTTTGATACTTAGAGCAGAGATTCATCCAAACAAAATTGATTTTCACAGGGATTATTCAGCAAATCCAAGAGGAAAACACACAATAAGACACTACAAAAGGAATATAATGAGATTACCAAGACCTTGACAATAGTTTTGCTGGCAGCCATTGCTTTCTAGTCATTAAAGAATATTCTATGGTTGTTTTTTCAGCAGCATTTTATTTTCTAACTTTTATGTCGCTTCTGATTTGTTTAATGCAGAACATTTACATTCCACAGTATATATTTCCAAACCAGAAGTACTCAAGAACAAGTACAGCATGTACTTGGAATGATTTCACATTTAAGATGAACAAATAGTTGATGACTGAATGGCAAGGCAAGTTTATTTGTATAGCACAATTCATACACAAGGCAATTCAAAGTGTTGAACAAAACAAGAAAGCATTAAAATCATAAATAATCACAGAACATTAAAAAGAAAGATAAAAATATAAAATCCCTCAGTTGTATGCACAGCTGAACAGAACTGTTTTTAACCTGGTTTTAAACATTGTCAGAGAGGAGGCCTGTCTCACATCTTCAGGAAGATTGTTCCAGATTTTAGCAGCATGAATCTGAAAAGCTGCCTCCCCATGTTTAGTTCTGACTCTGGGCACTAACAGGAGTCCAGTCCCTGTGCTCCTCAGAGTCCGGACTGGTTCATATGGGACTAACATGTCACTAATATATTTTGGTGCGAGGCCATGGAGAGACTTGTAACAAGCAGAGCTGTTTTAAAGTCTATTCTCTGAGCCACAGGAAGCCAGTGCAGAGACCTGAGGACCGGACTAATATGGTCGTACTTCCTGGTTCTAGTCAGGACTAATATGGTCGTACTTCCTGGTTCTAGTCAGGACTTGAGCTGCTGCATTTTGAATGTACTGCAGCTGTTTTACAGCCTGTTTGGACAGACCTGTGAGCAGGCCATTGCAGTAGTCTAACCTACTGGAGACAAATGGATAAGAATCTCCAGGTCTGCTTTAGACACTATGTTTTTGATCCTGGCAATGTTTTTTAGATGGTTAAAAGCTACTGATGTTATTGATTTGATGTGGCTATTGAATGCTGAAGTACAACCACTTCGTGGCCTAAACTCAAGGCTCACAAGCATCAGTGTCATGTCCGTGCTTTCTTAGAGAACTCCAAATACTAAACTCAATTGAGGGTGTATTCAATGCAACAAAGGTGATAATCCACTGCCATCACCTCAACTTTCCTTTTACTGTACATCTTTATAAAGCATTATACTTCACTTGGCTGAGGTACAAGTTACATCTTTGAGGCGAGTCTTCTCACTGAAAATACATACGTTTTAAGTTCTAAAAATCAGGCAGATACCAAATTAACTCTGCGGGGAAGAAGCCAATCTTGAAAGAAAAGTCCAACTGTTTTCCCAGATCATAATTTGACAGTGATTGGTTCAAAAAATCTGTCATATTATTTTTGTCACAATTTCACGACACTTATGAGAAAAATAATTAGATCATAGTTGAGATGAACTGACAAAGAAGAGGTGGAGCTTTGTGACAAGTTTTGTTTTGACACATCAACATTATTAGATCATCCACGTAATTGGATGGATATAATTTTACTTAATGTATAACTTATCAAACTCAGTGACATATGAAGCAGAGCAAGAACAATGAGCAGATATCATACCACTTTACAAAAAGCGGGTCATCTTTAAGAATCCAGCAGGAATTGAATTAAAGTATGTAAATGGGGGACTGTGTCTCGTTGTCCCAGTGGCCTTTCCCTTCGCGTCCCTCCCTAAAAGCCTGGAGTGCGACTGGGTACAGCTCAGTGAACTGCTGCCTCCTCTGGCTCACAGCTTTCTGTAATGAGCTCCCAGAATACCCAGAATGCCTTGTGTTGACTGTTGTTGGAGTGGCTTGACAGAACCGTAGCTCTGCCTGGTTCCTCTTGTCTCCAGACAGTCATTTCCTGTTTCCTGGATGTTTTGTAAATGTATTTAATTAGATAGATTTTGACAGAGGTGACACACAGGGTCAAAGCTTTGAGCTAAAAGCGTCCCAGGAATAATAAAAGCAAGTTGTTCATTCATAATAATTAATTTGTGGAATTTTCAATAATCTTGGGACAGTTAATTGAATTAGCTGATGGAAAAGATTAATATATAATTGTTTTAATGCATAAAACATTATTACATATAATGGATGTATAAATGCTTTGTATATACATAGACTGAAATATTTACAAGGTTCTTTACATTATGCACCCAGGCTTAAGGCGGCATGTCAAAGAATTACACTGGAGACCCCTGAGTGCATATATACATTTACAATGATTTTACCCAAAATAAATGTTTTTTGGTGCAAGACCAGAGGAGGAAAATGATACATTAATCAATGTTCAGACTAGCATTGAAACTATTTATGACATTATAACATTCTCGAGGCAGTTATTGAATTTTGAACTTAGAACTAGTATAAATCCTTGTAGTACTTCTTCTTGGGAGCGGCAGTAGCTCAGTTGGTAGAGCGTTGGCCTTTGAGCCAGAAGGTCGTGGGTTCAAGCCCCGCTTAAGAATTTCACCATCGACTCCCAATGACAACTGTTGTTGTGTCCTTGGCAAGACACTTAACCTCTGGGAACACCAGCCACAGTGGGGCGGCTGCGGCTGTAAAGTGCCAAACTGCCGTTGTGTACTTAGGCAAGACACTTCACCCACATTGCCTCGAATGAGTCTGGTGTGTGTGAATGGTTGGTGGTGGTCGGAGGGGCCGATGGCGCATACTGGTTGCCTCGCTTCTGTCAGTGTGCCCCAGGGCAGCTGTGGCTACAGTAGTAGTTTATCACCACCGTGTATGGAGTGAATGAATAATGACATGTGAAGCGACTTTGAGTGTCCAAAAAAGCGATATATAAAACCGATGCATTATCATTATTATTATTATATTGTATTGTTATTTATAGACAGTAAGTAAGTACGGTTTTTTTATACAGTGTCCCCGAGAGAACAGCAACACACAGCGCTCACAATGACAAGGCATTCGACACACAACACAGTAGGCAACAGACACTGACGAACGCAGCGAGATCGTTCCAAAGAGTGGGAGGCTGGAGAAGGATCGATCTTCTCTGGGAGTGAGTGAGGGGGAAACATCAGTTGTTTCTGATCCACAGAGACCTCAGGGCCTAAGCGGGCTTTAAGGCTGGATCACATCACTCATGTAAGAAAGAGCTGGACCGTTCAAAGCTCTGAGAGTTTATGAGAAAGTATGGGAGTCATTTCTAACACACACCTGATGAATCCGACTAGAATTACCACAATACTTATTGTTTATTTTTGTATGTATTTAACTTTTGTTAAACACATTGTTAAAAACCGCAGCTCATTATCCAAATGTATACCACCATAGTATTGAAATCGAGCTTCTGAACCGAGATTGTAACTTTAGTATTGTAACCATTATAGAGTGATTTTAAAATTGAATCTTAAAATACATTGAATTGAAAAGAGTTTATTTTTATTTTGAGCTGCTCTGTAACAATTAAGAGTCAATGATTACATTGTGTGATTACTGGCGACGTTTTCACAGCAGATGCATTCTCCGCACACAGCCTTCTGTCACGATCATACATAATTCAGCTTCACACACAGAATAATGCTGGTGTCCGGTGATCAGCAGCCGGTGTCTGGGCGTGCTCACACCGGTCCTGACAGATCACCCCACACTGATCCTAACAGGACCATTTATCTACACTGTGACCACCGCAGCAGCAGTGGCAGCAGTAGCAGTAGTACTTTTTATCCTGCACTATATATACTGTATATAGATAGAAAAAGATACATTGATACTGAGCATTTACAGCTAGCTAAGCAACATAGCAGATACTCACAGATACTTGACATTGTTCCACTTTGGGATGTAGTCTGACACAGAAGGGGGCATCAAGGACCTGGTGATGCAACTTTGATTGTATTTATGCAGCCGCTTGTGACGACCCTGATCTTATTTTAGATTACGTGACATGACAACTGAAAAAAACCTCTTCACAGCATATTTTTTGCATAAGAAATACACATACAAAGCCCTCCATCTGGTCTTTCATCTGCTGGAGACCAACATGCAGCACTAACCCTGACAATGTATGGGGAAAAAATAGAAAAAATGCCAACAGCTTCTCAGGTCAATTTCTAAATGAATTAGTTGTCCGCTTTTTAGTTTATTAGAGTGAAAGGAGCACAACTTGTCGTACATTCAAACGGCCAAATTTAACTAAAACATCATGGCCACACTGTGTACGTTTTCTGCACTAGTTTGTATCTGACAGCAGCAACTTTAAAACCCCTAAATAACTAAACTTTAATGGCGTTTCATGTTTGGAGATGCGATTACCGCGGAGAACTCTACACTGTTTAAATGCCATGTCAAAATAAAGGAAGGAGGTGGGAACGAGATGATCTTACAGCCCGGAGAAGTGAGAGGGCTGGAAAGCAGGGCACGGCAGCCTGACAACAGACCTGAGGCTCAAACTGCATTAAACTTGACGTGACCCTGGTTTTGTTTTCCAGCCCATAAGACAGGACAATAAAGCGAAGCTGAACGACCATATAACAACTCAATAACAGCTATTTTTTAATCGCTAATGCTTGTTACAATGTACTTGAATGTATCGTCTGAACGTTAACTTTTGTGGCTAAATATTGATTAATTCTATGGGTGTTGTGTTTAAGCTTAAGCCTTTAATAAATAATCAGATAAAAATAAGTTTACTGGGTGTTTTCCTGCGATCATATAACTGTTAATAGCATAGTAGTTTAGGGAAGTAGTAGTAACAGTAGTAGAAGGGAATATTTTACTTTATCTCTATGTTTCTTATAATATTAAACATATTATGCACTATTTGTCTTAATTTTGTCCATTAAACATGAGGTTGAAAATATTAACTTTTGCATTTAATATTATAGAATGTGAACTATCG